GGCCTTTGTTAAAACGATTTCTCAACTGCCAGCGTTTGAAATCTCAATACAACAAACGTAGAATCTGGAAGACGGGCTCTTACGCATCCTTGGAGCTACATATTATCGCATCATTCAACCTAGGAGAATATGACGCAGGAGAAAACTTCGCAGTTCCTGCGCCAAGGCACCACGTCAAGTTCGCCTAATGCGTGGACGCTGTTCATAAAAGGGTTCCTAAACAGGCACGTTGACTAGCGCTCTCTCCTACAATCAGGATACATTATAAAGATACTGCTATGCTACAAGGAATAACGAGAATGAAACAGTCTTCGAGAAACGTTTCCCGAGTTTCCGTTGAACCTTTGCCTGTCCACTTACTGGCATAAGACACGGAACTACAGAAGAGTCAATTCACGACAAGGAGGGTGAGCTAGCTATTCTACACTGAATGCATGCATTCGTCTGTCAAAAATCGTGTCTTGACAACCCCATCAGCTTGATTTATGGTTTTGAAGTTACTGGAGTAAGAGGAGGCCATTGGCTGCCCTAGAGTTAGCATAAAGCTGCGTCTACTGGCACTCTGTAACGGAAGCCGAGACGATACCGAAGCGCATGGTCGGCCACCGTGAAGTGGCAAACGCTGGGAACAGGACGATCAGAGTCGGTAAACGCGATTGCCAATTACTGAATACGAGCAATCCGCATTCCGCCGGCCGTCTTCTTTTGTCAAGAGTTTGGTGCAGCTTCCAAGACTCTTTGCTCTGAACAAAAACAAGGTACGCAGTTTGGTTGACCGTGCGCTCTCTGATGATCTTGGCCAACTTGGGTTTCAACGCCCAGCCTGAACCACGAAAGGGGAAATGAAAACATTCGACGTTGGCCTGATTCGAACAGAGGTCGTCTACAAGGCAGAGATGCCAAAACTCTCGCGTAATCGTCTCATATCCCGGGGGATGAGACTCGTGCCAGTGCAACGTGCCAGTGCAACGCCGACTCCACCGCCCAATTTGCTCGCATCGAGGCCTTGACCTTGCCCTGGGGGCCTCTCAGTGTTACTAGTGTATTAATAGACGCGTCGAATGTTCGAATGTTCCACGTGTCTTGCCATGCCAGACGTGCAACTTCGAGCCCGTCATTGTTGAGAAACGCCGGTCGTCGGATCTTGAATGACAATCAACGACTCTTTCCTCGGCAAGTGCTGAGTTATCTTGAGGCATTTTGCGCATTTCGCATCTCATGCAGGTCAACAGGCAGCAGCTGAGAAGGGGCTGGGGGCGGCATGGGCCATTTCATGGATAAAAAAAAGAATAGCCACGACAGCCGACAACAAATATTTGGTTATCTATCCTCTCATGCGACGAGTTCGCTTTTCCCTAGTCAATGACCTGTTGATTGGCGGTGTCGGGCAGACATCACCGCGTGTTGGTTCTCAATGTGACGGATCATATTGGAACCAACAGAGTGTGACACCCATCACACGCAGAAACGATGCAGAAATGCCCCGCATTCGTCGCAACCCCCAAGAGGCGCCACAGAAATTCTTCAGCGGCACTTGCCCCCCCTTGCATATCCGTATCGATTTTCCTTGGCCAACCAAGATGTTCACAACAGCGGATACGGTTCGTGCCCTGGGGGAAGCCGGAAGATGCTGCACTGTGACTGCAGTTGCTCATTGCTCGTGTGCATATGTTGACGTTCGAGTCTGGGGTCTCTCGACACCACTAAGAATTAATTACGGAGAGCGACTAGTTGCAGAGATGGTTAGAACCGTTGGATCCCGCATTTAGGATCAGAAACGTGACCTCGGGCTTAGTCAGAAATCTCGCATCCCAACATCGGACTAACGTGAGAGATTGCCACACTTCAGGAGTGAGGGGGATTGAATCCATGAAAACAGTTTGAGTGTCAAAGTTGTCAACCACGCTGCTCAGAGGCTAGCAAGGGGATGAGAAGGAGCAGCAAAGAGGGGAAGAGCAGGGAAGAGGGCGAGAGGGCAAGGGAAAGAGCAAGGAAAATGGTGGGAGAGTCAGGGGTGAGATGGCCAGAAGACAAGGAGCAGACGACTATCGTCGACCGGAGGCTGGTCCGTTGACCGTTACCGGTTCCACAAACAGTGCACCGACACTTCAACGAGCCCCGACGAGAACAACCCCGGCCCATAGCAGAAATTTCGGCGCTACGTGGCGCAAGTAGCCCCCATTCCGCACTCTCTTCCCGCTTTAAACCGTTGAAGAACTCTGGGTCGAGCCAAGGGTTCCAAACGAATGGGATCAATCAGGAAGTCAGAAGGATCGAGGTGGATGTGCGGGCGAACCAAACTTCCCGATTCCATCTGATCATCGCATGTGTTCTGCGGAATCCCGAATCGCAGACCGTGCGTGCCGCAACGTTAGCCGCCGACGCCGAGGATGCCGTGATGCCTTCGACCGGCATCAATAGCATGTAACCCTAAGCGGGTTGGTTACCCTGCCAAAACGGTGACCATCAAAACCAGAGCCGGGGGGCTGGGACAGACAGCAAGGTCAGGGAGAGAAGAAGAGGCAGAACTTCAGAAGGCACAGACTCGCGAACCAAACATCATGGAAAAGCGTTCGATCTTATATGTAGTAACAAGCGAAGAAGCTAGCAGACGGTAGATACAATAACCATATAACAAACGCGGAGCGCAACCCCGAAACGATCGGTTCTACAAAATGAAGAGAGAGCGAGAGAGGGAAAAACCTCGAATCCAGATGGGCCGACACGCCAAATGAGGTCCACACCCCCCAGTCTTGGCGGACCTATGGCGGCATTACCATGTCGCAGTCGTATCTTTTTTGTGAGCGGCTTCAGCGGTAGGTCGATTCAGAGTCTCCCGAGATATTGCGACTATCCACATTAATCCACCTGGCGTGAACTATAAATGATGAAGAGACCCAGGGAACTGGGAAGATGGCGTGTCCAAGGAGGATTTCGGATCGGCAATCTGGCGCCGTTGTTTCATGATTTCATTCATCATCAGGCCCTTCCGTCTTCGACTTCCGAGTCTCTGAACTTCTGTCGTCGTCGTCATCTTTCACCCTCCCGCAAAGCATCATGGCTGTCCAAACCCTTAGCCCGACGTCCTCCATCGCGAGGTTGCCTACGTCGGCCATCTCCAAGGTCAAGGACGCCTTGTCTCTTGCTCACCTCATCACCGAGAGCAACATCAAGGCCTATGTCCTGCCCGTCGTCCTCTTCGCCATGCTGAGCTTGGCGTCCGGGGGCGTCACCGTCAAGTCCCCCAGCTGGGCTGACGTCGCGGCCTCTTTCCCGAGGGCCCTGCTCTACATCTGGCTCTACGTCTTCCACTTCGACCTCAGCAACCAGAAGGACCCGGAGTCCGTCGAAGAAGATAAGATCAACAAGCCCTGGCGCGCCATCCCCTCCGGCCGTCTCAGCATCGAGGACGCCCAGAAGTGGTACGTCGTCGCCACCGTCCTCCTCCTTGTCGCTAGCATCGCCCTCGGCGGTTTCCCCGAGGCCCTGGCCTTCATGGCCGAGACCTGGGTCTACGACTACGTCGGCGCTAGCTCCTGGTGGGGCAAGAACATTATCAATGCTCTCTTCTACTCGACCGGCCAGCTCGGCGCCACCCGTGTCGCCTCCCACTCCAACAACATGGCCCGCGCCGGCTACGAGTGGTGCGCCCTGCTCGGTCTCAACACCCTCACCACCGTTCAGATCCAGGACTTCAGAGACATCAAGGGCGACGGAGCTCGTGGACGCCGCACCCTGCCCCTCGCCATGGGAGACGTCCCCTGCCGCTTCCTCACCGCCTTCTTCATCGTCTTCTGGTCCATGGCCCTGTGCGCGTACTGGCAGTGCACCCCCCTTGAGTACATCATGCCGGTCATGATGGGCGGATACGTCTCGTTCCGCCTGCTCTTCGACCACTCCACCAAGGCTGACCGCATGACCTTCCACATCTACACTCTGGGATGGCTGCCGATCCTCTACTCTATTCCTTTTGTCAGCAAGCTGGGTTTCCTTAGATTTGGAGCATTGAACTAGACGGATAGAGAAAGCGCTAGAGTTACATGCATTTGTTTCCTTGTGTGTAAATAGACGACGAACATGATACCTTGAATATAACTCAAAATACAACTAAGCAATGTCCTATGCAGTCTGACACGCTTGACGTTTGCTGTGACGTCGATTGACGACCGCCTTATTCACTTATCTTTCCTGTTCCGCGCTGTTATCTTTTGTTCTTTGCTTTTTTCTTTTTTCTTTTCTTTTCTTTTTCTTTCTCTTCTTAAACTATTCAACTCTTTGTCGCGGTTGGGGCAAAGTCTTGCTAATTCTAATTCAGGGGCCAATGCAACTTTGAACGTAACGCTCAGCAGGACGGTCTTAGTGCCAGCCAGGCACTAAGCTTTCCGCACTCAGTCGTCCTTGAGGTCTCGCGAGTCTCAATCGGTGCCGCATTTTGAGTTCGTACGTTCTTGGATATGCAAATCCATGGATCAAGTCTGGCCGTTCTACTTTCATTTCTGAAGAGAATTGCCACCAAGCCGAGGTTGTTCTCAAAGCGACGCTTTTTGAGGCCTGACATTAGATTATCTGTGCTTCCCCGAACTTGGTCATCACCCAAGCCTCAGCCATCATCGAGAACCAAACCTCATTCAACATGTTGTTTTTTAAACTGGAATTCTCAGGAACAATAAGACCTATCAAGGCTTCTTTAGATGGCAGGTATGTTAGGAGACAAATATAACATAATGATGATCGTACAAGCGGCTTTTACGTGAGGCATTCTTCTATCACAAATCGGACTATGTTAAATCTGCCCTAACCTTTGTGACACATACACATCAATTAGGCGGAGTTGAACGCTCAGAAGTTACGACCTCATGAAAGGCTATCGAAGGCTTAAATTATGTACCTGATTGTGGATCTGGAGTTTTATTGCCAAATGAGTGTGGTGGTAAATGCAATAAAAGGCAACCGTGTGCTTGCACATGTGACCAATGCAGCATGTATAGACCAGTGCCAGTTCACTGAGCCTTGGGAGGCGCCTTGTTGACTGGCATGATAGTCGTTGACGGCTTGTAGCTCGGGTAAGCAAACAGATGGCGTCCCGAACTCTTTCCTTTCTGCCCAACAGTATAGGCATACCAGTCTTTCCAACCCTTGTTACTTAGTGCAATATGTATGTCTTCCAACTCCTTCTTGTCATTAAATACAGGAAGAGTTTGGACATAGAGTCCAGAGGAATGTCCAGTCCCACTCATGCTGAAGTTGTAGAATTGGAGACCGCCAACCCTACGTAGTGCTCGCGAGGGAATCCGAATGTCGTCCCACCCGGGACCACCAGACCAGCTCATTGAGTTGACCTGTCCTCGGCCATCGGCCCAGATGTTGATGTTGTGGGTGTAAACCTTTTCAACGCGAAGCATGAGTCCGACTGCAACTTCGACAAGCGGTTCATCGCCAACCTTTCCTTCCTGAGTGTACTCCTCACGCTCGAAACTGACACTTGCATCCGCTGTTGCCTTGGCGTCCGCCTTCATTTCCATGAAGTTTTCCCCACCTGAGATCTCCAGAGCGAATCCTGGTTTTGCATATAATTTCGTGTTGGTAATCTCCACCCGCTCATTGTCGATTTTCGTGACGAGGCTATTCTTGGGAAAGTCTCGAATCCTTGCGACGGACGGAACCCATTCGATCAGTTTGTACGCCACAATGTCTCCAGTGACTCTCCATCAGCCTCCGCTTGAATCCCCTGAAGTACGGTCAAGACGGGGGCTGATGTAGTATGCCGGGAGATCAGGCAAATTATCGTTGCTAATGCCGAACCACTCCTGTAGCTGCTCATGGTTCATGTGCAGGTCACCATAGAATTCGTTCGAAAGCGGAACCCGAATGACCTTGATGTCACCATCATTATAGTAATAAGCGTCGTTGTTGTCTTTGGCAGGACTATCGAATTGAAAACCCATTGTGAAGGTGCTGAGGGAAACAAATAAGGTGATGCAGTGATTGATTGAATGATTTTGGGTGAGAAATAATGTTATCATTGCTTGATTTGTTCTCAACTTTATAGATGTTGGAAATGAAGAACTCAGTATCTAGCGGAGATGAGATTCCTGATCCGGATAATCCACACTACTAGAGAAAGCAGTGTTGAAGTCTCTCTCCTGCATCGTCATTATTCAGTGTAAAGCACATAGTACCAGCTGTTACGGTTCTTATTGATTCGAAGTGGCGTTGATCGTCGATGATCAGGTTACCATAGAAGCGAGCTGCAAGCTTTCAACTGCGAACAGAACAGACGATGGCTCTTGTCAAAACATCAAACTGATCCGCTCCGTCTCGGTACGTTCACACTCTAATCAGATTGGATATTTTACGAAAATGTTTCAAATCGACTTGCATTAAACTTTGTGGTAGTCAAGTTCCTTAAAACACCATGTCTGGATTGAGTCTTATCCCAACATGGTAAGACAGGTTCACGTCATCCGTCACATCGCGTATCCGGCACCACTGAACTACTACCCAAACAGCCTGCATGTCTTACAACTTCCTTCTTGTCATGTCCATCTCAATGTTTGGCGAATCTTCCGCTAGATCTGGTATCAAAAAGCGTCTCAGGGCACAATCTGGAAGATAAATGCCTCAAAATGGAATGGACTGGTGTTGACTTTTGTGCGTAGGGCCACGCGCCTACTCAAAAGAACAAATCAGCCATTCGAGCAGCTTACCGCATCGAAGACTGCCGGAGCGGCCCGTTACCGTCGCTAGTGGGAGGCTAACTATATGGGTGTCTTGGAAATATCTAGTAGGAGCCTTTCGTTGGTACTCATGATGATGAACATAATCAAGCCACCAGCAGAGCTCTTCCAGAGCCCTTCATAAGTAAAGCAGAGGCCAGCGTTCGCGCCACTTAGCGACAGTACTTACAGCGCCAGTGCCTTCGCAGGAGACGTTGAGGCAGCTGTGGGGCCGCTAAATGGTCCATTTCCCAGGCCTCAATGAGACGGGTTGATGATTTCGAATTTTCAGCTTCCCACGCTTGACTCTTGGCGCCCGGTTCTGTCACAATTGAAAGGTATCAAGCGGTACATGCTTTGTAATTGAGTTTGCCGCCTTTCTCAATCCTACACGTATGTCTCGCTACCCTACCCTGCCCAGCCCTCAATCAAAGACACAAACGCGCTCCCGACAACATTAACCTAGACAGCTTGCATCCCATCAACATCAGTACCTGTTGCCCAGGATCTCGCGACGGGGCTCAGCAACATCATCCGATTAGAGCCCATACGGCATCAGCGGATGCCAGCTTGGTATTTACGAGGTGAGCTGCTGATACCGTTATTCCCACGCCGATTGAATGACCAGGAACTGTATACTGTAAGTGGCTGTATGACCAGGTGGAGAGCGACTGTTGGAAAGCATGGCAGTGCAACCTGGTTCAAAGAGAGCCAGAATGACTCTATCTATTATCTATAGATATTAACGCAGCATTGATCATGCGGCATATTCGAGGTAAGATACCTTAGTGACGTCGCGCCGTATTATGGGGACAAGGAGGCTTGGGTCTTTTGTTTGCACTAACTAATTGAGGGTCATACTGTCCAGCCAGATTGAATAGAGCTATCCTGATTTTCTGCCTTTCACTGTGATTGACTATCTGTTGTTCCCAAGGTAACTTGCCATTTTAGATTTTAAGCATCTTCCGACGCCCGAGCTTGAGAAACAGCCTTTGCTCCTCGTGGCACGATGATCGTAACCTCACATGATGAATCGTCTGTTCAGCGGCTCGAAAATGGTCTATGATATGAATTATGAGATTTAATCCTTACTTTTGGGAGAGAAAAGTAGGCTATGTACACACCATTTGCACCACATTGCAGTGCCCTCTGATCATCAAAGGGTCGTTCCTGACGGTCGGTACCACATAAGAGGAGACCCGCAAACAGCACAACTGCTGTCAGAAGCGCATGGGCGACTTCTAATCTAGTGAATGATTGACATATTGAATGGCAAAACATGTAGCAAAACTCCTCATCCGCCCATCTGGAGATAGAACGTTTAGTTACTTCAGTCATCCCTAATTCGTACCTTTGCCCTGTCTCTTATGTGCTGCCTCTTTGCCCATTGCTTTTCGGTTTTGCTCAAAGCAAACGGAGCATGCATTGATCTCTTTGATAGTTGAAGGTTTTGGAAGTTCCAGCCGTAGCCGCTTTGAGGTTTCGAGGATGGATATCAACGCAGAAGTCGTCAAGTGTGAAAATGACGGGTCTGCCTGGTTCGAACGATGGACCAATAATCTCTTTGCTGCCGATGAGTTGCATTCCAGAATTAGACAAACGTAAGCGAGTCGCCTCATTTTGATGAAAGTGCAAAAAAGGCGACAATCCGTCTCCGTATTGGCCAGTCTTTCGGGCTTATCGAATACAAGGCTGCAATCTGACACTTATGTTCCCAGTGCTAGACCCAAGCCCGCACCAACAAGAGCAACTAGCCTCTATGGGGCCAGTTTCAGATCTCACTGTATTGAACTATCACAATACCAAGCGATTTGGGGCCAGTTTACCATGCCCTTCACCAAACCGGCGCAAGCGCGATGCCACCGTTCATAAATAGCCCAAACCCCGAGCACATACTCGTCCTCAGCTGTAACCAGCTCTACTAACTCAAACAAATCACAATCACCGCTCTTTGCTTCTAGCGAAGCTTTCTATTAGAGACACTGCAGATTCTCAGCGCCCTGCATACCTCTGCCGTCACGAACGTCAAAGAGCGGGGACCTCGGAACCCCGCGCTTGTCACATTCCGCCTAGTCGAGAACCTGACTTGCAAAGCTCTGCCATTCTTACACACTTCTACGAAAATCCAGAACTTTGTTTTGATTTTAATTTTGATTTTGATCATTCACCATGTCCAGTTGTCGATACGCTGCTTCAAGCCTCACACTCAGTCGACCACCGCGCAGCCGCCCTTGAAGATGGGGAAAGTTCCTTCGATAACCTGTTGGTGCAGGAACAATTGATCAGTGACAACATCTCGTCCTCATCGATTGCAAGCACGCAACAGAACATCGAGTCAGAACTGCGTCATTTCTGGCGGAGGATTGGTCCTTTTCAAGATATTTGGATACTTTGGGAAATAATACTGGGACTCCAACTTTTTCACCCGCATCGCCGTCTTTTCACTGCTCTCATTTCATGCCCGCAGCCGCAAGATGTTTTGATCAGCCAAGGCTGGAAATGAGCATGACCAGCACAGATACGCCATTTGACAACAGCTCAGGTCAGCCTGAGCTCCTGACATCGTCGATTTCTTCACCAACACCTATCAGCCCACAAGCTATGCCAAGCACACGAGGCCCAGCTTTACTTCCCGAAATCGACCATAAGCAAAGATTTGCATGCAAAATGAGTTGCATCCGGTCTTTCTCAAGCCCAAAAGATCTCCGGCGTCATTATCGCTCAAAGGCTCATACCGAAGAAGCAATCCAGTCATACGAGTGTCGATGCGGGGTTACTCAACTCCTCGCAAGGATCATTATCGAAGACACCTGAACAACATCTCTCGTGGAAAGACTTGTGCGTACCGCAGGCCCAACTTCCGGTGTATTTGTGAGAAAGAGGGTGCAGAAAGCAACCATCTAAAGCAGATCAAGCATGTCAACGTATGCCAAGCAGGACGAGGTGTTGCGGGTAGGCCAAAGAAGGTTAGTGGGTAGCGCTTGTTTGGTTCAAGTTGATCTAGTGGTATCTTGCCGTAGTTCTCTCACGAACTTCCATACTCATTTGATAAATTCCAACATCATGTCTCCGCGCCCGAATCATACGTCCCTTAGAAGGGAGACACATTGTGCATTGTGTGTCTTCAGCTCACTCGTATGTTAAGGCATAGAGTGCTCTTTACTTTACTTTCCTCCTGATGTTGAAATCTGTGATTTCTCCCGCTGTCTAGGTTTGGAAACCAGCAACACCTAATGTAGTCGCGCAGGGATGACAGGGTTCATGGTAGTCCTCGTCCTGTGCCAATCAATGTTGCCGACAGGCGCCAGTCGGCTTGACCAGACAAAAAGACCAAGAAATTGAATGCGCGTGCGGGGTAAGAAGCAACCAGTTCCTTCTGAATTAAGCTTGTGATCTGCAAAGCTGATGTGGTCCCCAAACCTTGATCTACAGGACGAACTGGCGTCCAGAACGGACCAGAAGCTTCACTGTGCGTACTCATTGTCTTCGAAATAGACCTTTACTCAATTGATCAGGTGAAAATCGACTCTTGCGTGGCTCAGAGTTCGCAGATGAGCTCTTCTCGTTGCTGAACATTTACTCAAAGGCCTCTGAGAATGATGTGTGAGGGTGTATTTGTTAAAGGAATTCAGCGAGCGACTTTACCTGTAATAGTCTAATAGATGAAATCGAACACCGAGACTATGTGTCTTTTCGGCAGCCTTCCGGCAGACGTGAGAGCAGATCACCCGGTGATCCAAGAATCTTGGCCGCGCAATTCAAATCCCGTGCTTATTCGGGGGCCGCGGGAACTATAAGCCATTTCTGCAACAAAAGGAAACTGAAGAACGACATCGAATTATGGGGACCGGAAGAATACAAGTTGATTAGTCGAACTCTATGATTGCCCGCATATACTTTAACTGAATGAAAGCTTGTTGGATAAATGCGCTAGACAGCAAATCTAGGTCTTTTTCTACAGCGCCTATATCAAACCTTAGCCTCCGGCGCCTAGAGTTTTACAGGTTCCCACATTCGGATGTTTTGGCATTGGTGGATGAAAGACGAGTATTCGTATCGAGGCTATGCCAACGTCGTATAAGGAGGGTCAATTGATGCGCAGATTCCAAGTGAAACATCCTGGCACGCGATTTGACCAGGGCGCATCTCCAGTAATATTAGGGCGCGCCGATGTCCGGCGGCGACTTACATATTTGCCTGGAACATCGCCGGCGGCTGTTCGCGCTTGCTTGCATGGGCTCAGTCCAAATGAGCGCGCAGTACACGTAGGCATTTTGAAACTGCCGTAATGCTGTATCGCCGGTTAAATCGACGCGGAGGTCAATCGCAACTACAGCCTTCAGGTCCACGGTAGTCGGTCAAAATTAATCTGTGAAGGTTTATGAACATGAATCATCTCCTTCAGCTAGGCATGTTCTGCTGCAATTGAGATTGCAATTAATCGTATCCGATCGTAGCGCGTCGTTGCAAAGGACCGTGAAATCTATAATTAAATCTAGCCTCTGGATCACTTGTTCAGCATTGGAACGTTGCCATCTCACCTAAGCTTTTCTTTCTCATACTTGACCCAGAGCTCACAACAAAGAGAATCCTGTTTCTTTAACCAACATAAAAATGAAGTTCATCAACGCTCTCTTCCTTTTCGCTACCCTCGCTGCGGCTGTCCCGGCGGGCAATCAAAATGAGCCAGTCCCTGCAAAGCTCGAGGCCCGTCGTGGCCCAGTTGTCTCGTGTGTTGGAAAGAAGAAATTTGGAGACAGTAGGTCATCATGCGATCTATTCAGATATCTTGGAGCAATTCTGGTCCATGTTTTACTCGTTACTAACGTAGCGCGAATCACAGCCTGCAGACAGAACGGCGAATGCTGCTCGGGTTATTGCTCTCCTGTTGGAGCTTGCGGAGTCAACTAGGATACGTGCAGGACTTGTACAAACCTATGCGCCAGTCATAAGTCAAACACTGGACGTGGCATGGCCATGATCTTCCCAAGCTGTATTTTATTGTGAGACCGTTCTGGTCTATGAAGCATCTACTCGTCTAGAATGAGACGAATTGCATGTTTTTGAATTAAATCAATGAATGTCTTGCCCAACTCCAGCTCGCGCGATGAATCCCGAAAAGCCATATCCGTCACAAAGTTTCCATGAGTCAGTGATCAAAAGTGCGGAGGATTTAATCTCTCTCCCACCGGCATTCATGCCTTGAATCTCTCAGGCGCGCGTTCCTCGGCGCCGTCCTGCGGGACGGCCTTCGCCTTGCCTCGGCCTGGTGCCGACTCGAACTTGTCCTTCCACTTCGCCTCCGCGTTGAACATGGACAGACACTGCATGGCCGAAGGCTTGCCGTAGTCCGGATCAGCACCGCCATCCAAGAGGACCTATTCCGAATTCGTCAGCCGTCAAGCTCCGATATCCGTGGCACCAACATTTCTTTGATGCTTCACGATGGCTGAGTGCCGGGCAATTTCTCTGACGTTCTCACTTACTTCGATCACTGCATCCAAGCCTTTGAAGACGGCACCCGCGATAGGGCTCTGACGCTTGTCGTTCAACCTGTTAGGGTCTGCTCCATGTTGGATCAGGAGCTTCACTGTGTCCGCGTGACCGTAGTATGCCGCCAACATCAACTGCCACGAATGTTAGCTACCGCCATCCGTGCTTTCCATATGCCGAAGCCCCCGGCAGTGAAGCTGCAAACTGCCGAGCATGGCGCTCGGGGAAGCTCACCAAGGTGTCTCCCTTCTCATTCGTCAAGTTGGGCGGAAGCCCGTCCTCGAGAGCCTCCTTCAGCACCGTCTTGTTGCCCTCGCGCGCAGCGTTGTACATGCTGGCGGCCAACTTGATGGCCTCCAGCGACGGCGAGAATGCCGTAGCCGACGTCAGACTTGATCCGCTCATGATGATGTATGAAAACGAATTGCGTGATTGCCTTTCGTAGGGCTGAGACTTAGCGATGCCAACAACGGTAGTGGTTCCCCCGCGATTGAAGGTGCCGAACCAATGTGAAGGGCGGAGTCGTCAGGTCAGCAACGTGCGCTATTCGGTGAAGTCGGGGCGAATCTTCGAGAAATCATTAGTAATCTGAGACATGATTGGCTCGGAGTTTGGAGGGCCTTCACCGCTAGCATCAAAGTCCGGCGTTTCCGTGCCACGTCTCATTTACTCTCACTGATTTTGTGGCTGGCTGCGATCGCTGGTATGTCGAGCTTTTGCGACTGAAAATGGAAGAAAAAGAGGTGTGGCTTTGAGAAATTGCCAAAACCGCAGCTCTGTAGCTCTTACCCAAAAGTTGCTGCTTTCTATCTCGGCCTACCTACCTTCCTCCAATCTCACAAACACATTCTGGATGCGGTATTGACATCTCGGAGAGCAAAGCTTTCAATACAATAGTGACTGTTAAGGTTGCTTGCATAATAGTTCTCGTCGGATGTCTGACGCCTCTTTCTGACGTTTTCGAGCGGCTTGCTACAGCCAGGTCATGATACATCCTCAGCAACAGATTCACAAACCCTACAGTTATGAAGAAGTTCGAGCAGCGATACAAGTGGGGGAAAACACTTTTTTAGATGCACGGCGAGCTCTTGGATGTGGGATATCGTGGTTGTTTTATAACGAGTCGCTATGGACGGCTTGCCTGAGGACATGCGCAGTGACAAGAGTTAAAAGGACTGCGCCAATGGCCTTGCGGAATGTGTCTTGGGTGACCATGACATCAATTGTCGATTGAAGTTTCTAGAAGGGAAGGGAGCGAGTCTAAGAGTTTAGCCCTTCAAGAGGAATATGTCTTTGGCTCTCCAAGCTTCAGACACTATTTCTGAACCTAATTCGAACAAAAAGGCAGGAAAATGCTACACTTTTACTAATGATAGAAATTCGTAGTTTGGACTTGTGATCATACATATCTGCTGACATGTTTTGTCCCGTTGGAACAGGTCAGGCAGAAAACTTTGCTTGGCCGACAATATGCCAGTGGCGATCAGATCCACCAACGTCATGTTGAAATGCAGGATGTAAGACCAATATTACTGGAATCTTGAGAGAGGTCGATCCGAAATCAGCAAGAAGTTTAGACTGGAAACTGGCCCCAAGTATGAGGTGAATGGCAGTCAAAATAATAATTGGCCCCACGCTCTCACAATGCCACATTAACCGGCCCCAGCAAAAATTGGCCCCAAAGAACATGATCCCAAACAAGCCCAGTCCATTGGTACCTCGGTTTGGGGCCAAATACATTCTGGAGCATATATATCGGAAAGGCTCCAGAGTTTTGAGTAGTTCATGAATTACAAACAGATAACAACCATCACGCAATTAACCCAAACCTAGCCATGGCATCATCGAGACAAGCCTGATAATAACCAAGTTAGTGTCCAACTCCAGTCTTTGAGTCTGGTGCGTACTAACATGCGCCACAGAATGCAAGAAAACCAGCAGAATACGAACGCCTGCTTAGAAAAGGGAGTCCAGAAGCCGAAGAAGTCGTCATTAAGCCACCCGATGGATCGTTGGCTCGACCAATGTGCTAAGGCGGAACCATGGAACGGGCTCATACACATGCGCAAAGATCACACACACCTGCCGTATAGAAGGCCTGACGATGCCAAAACCTGGAGCCAGGCAGCCAACCCAAGCTCAAGCGGATCTACCTTGAGGTCCTGAAGCCTCGTTCTCAGTACTAGCCGGTCTGTCCTTGAAGTCTAAACGGCAGGGCTAGGCGAACTTGTGGAGATGGTTCGCATGGGTCGCGGGAAAGGCGAACAGAATTTTCAACCCGCCCTATAAAGAATTTGTTTTCAACTGTGCACACTCCCTATAGGCTTGTCTCAAACATGTTCAAGACTATTTTGAAAACCCCAGAGTCCAGACCGAGACACGACCACTTGTAACAGTCCTACACATACGCCATCAACCATCATGACAGCCAACAATAACTTGAGGAAGGTCTTCATTGGTACGAATTTGTCCGTCCCAGACGTTTACAATCTCTGGGGATACAGAGGACAAACGCCAGCGGAAGCCAAAAGGCGCCTTTCCTGGTCATTTGTCCGGACCGAGATAGGCCGCACAAAGTACTATGGACATTACGTCGAGGGTGTGAATAACAGAGAGTTCAACGTCATTCGCGGTTACTTCGAGGGAACTCTTCGCATGCGCCCATCTCGGATCAACGTCGAACTCCAGTGTCCAAAAGGACCCGTACACAGACGCAGAAATGTCGTTAGTTGGGTGCGGACGGATTCCCCTAGGCTACAGCCTCAGCCAGGAGCACCGCAACAGACGGCCATGCCACAGAATCATGCACCAAACATGAATACTGCTGTCCCTCAGACTTCGGGAACAGTGCCGCAACAAGTCCCTATGCCGCAGAATTCTCACTCGAATATGGATACCCCCAATCCTATGCCTTTGAGAACACGCCCCAACCAAACGCCCGCATTGCAGAATACGCAATTGAATGAGATGTCGGGATCCGGCGGTTCGAGCCCACCCAACTACCAGCCTCTGCAGCCTCTGTATCCCGAATTGGGAAATCTCGACTCTGATCCGTCCTCAACTGGACCTGACTTCGGTTCTTCTACTTGAGTCGATTATGGGCTGAACGATGGGTTATCGCACCAGAGTGATGGAGACATGAGGTAAATACATCTGTAAGGCTCAACTCAGTATCCCAGCAGGAGGGTTAACTGACAAGATTGGACAGAAAAGATTGTACATAAGGGAAGAGACAGGAAGGGTTCGACAAGAGGTGATCCAACGAGTCAATAGCAAGGATCACAGCCGGGACAGTGTAGTAGTTTATTTCGATGGAATGGTCCATGTCCTGAGTCCTGACTAGGACACAGTGCAGTAGTTGATTTCAATGTATCGATATAGTGCAGTAGTTATTTCAATGGAACAGTCAAGGTCCTGATAGACCGAAGCTCTACAGGCTCTATGAGACCAAACTTCTGCCAAGCCGCCTCAGTGTAGTACGTTGGTGTTTGCGGACCGAAGCCGATGCTAAAGACTCGGTCTACGTTTGCTTTGACTGAGTTGAACAGGGTTGTTGTCACTTCAACTCTCAGTGTGTTATTGCCTGTAATGATGAAACGCGAAATATCAGCAACGGGGTCTGTCGGGTCAACCGGCGCAAGCTGTTTCCCATTTACCCAAGCTCTCAAGGTATTCAACACGGTTCCAAAGTTGATAGTCACGGCTGCCTGGTCGTCGACAACACATTCAAAGCTGGTGGAGTATGTGCCAACCCCGCTAAGGTGCTCGATGCCAGAGATGTTCGTCCAAGGCCTCAGACTGTCCAGCTGACCAACATCAATAGTAGTAACTTCGCCTTCCAGGGTGTCATTGTCGGCGGATGGGCCGTATGAGTTCACGACAAGATGCCAAGGGCTCAGAGTAATGACAGCTTGAGCTGGGCTGGCCGCAGGAGGGAGAGTAATCTGGGTTCCGTTGCTCAATTTCAGCCATGCCTCGTCAGATCCATGGAGCCATATGTCAAGGTCTTCCGACGAAGGAATGTGGATCGATTCGACGTTCGGTGAGTGTTCAATGACGAAGAGGTTGTTTTCAGTGGATACCGAGAGTTCAAGTATGAGCGTTTGATGTGCCTTCAGCCCGACCCTCGTCGTGATGCCTGTAGAGGTGTTCTGGTACACAGCCAGAGCGGTCCTTTTTCCAGTCCAAGCGCCGAGAATGAATGGGGCTGTATTTGGGCGCGCGGAAAGCGAGATGTCAAAGGTGCCATCTTCGCCGGTGTTGTATAGATAGACGTAATTGCTCTGGGAGGAAGTGTCTGATGTCCAAAATGTGTAGAGGTTGGACGCATTAGAGTTTCCATGTGTATTGGCACGCGGTAAAACGCCGTCGACAATGAGCAGAGAGGGAGAAAATGCCTCCGTGCTAAGAAAACGAACAGAATCGTGGGTCAGGAGTTCGTCCATGCTGGACGATACTTCTTCCTGGCCGTTGATCCCGATGGTGACATTCGGAATAGTCCCTACGATGTAGATCGGCAGACCACTTTGAGCGAAGCCAAGAAGTGCCGAAGATGCGTTGGGCGTGATCTGTGACTGGTTGTAGATTATCAAGGCTGTGTATCCAGGTCCCTCTGGCGCAAGAATTCCATCGACAACTTGAGCGTGGTCAGACACGAGATTGCTGGGGCCCAAATACTCAAACGTGTATCCTGAGAACTGTCAGCGAACATTACTTCTACGGAAAGCTTCATCTTACCAAATTCATTAAGATCGCTCTTGTTGTACACACTAGCGCCAAACTTGAATGGAACTTCAAAGTAGTAGAAAGCAAGATCAACTTTTGGAATGCCTTGCCGCATGATCATTGAATTCCTTGCAGAGTATGTCATGAGGTCGTTGAGATGTCTCCAAGCCGGCTGTCGAGGACCCCACATATCCGAGTATTCGTACTGGAAGGGAGTGTAGCCCGGCCATGTTGTCCCAGGATACTGCCCGCTATATGCGTAGCCATGTAGAACGACGTTGTTGACACCGGCGGCGAATGAACCATCAAGGAGGGCTTTTAGATTGGGGATGGTCTGCTTGTAGGTACTTCCAAGAACTGCTCCGAGCTCAGTTGAGATGACGTTGCGGCCAGCTAGATGAGCTGCTCCGGTGAATTGACGGTACTCGTTGATGCTTTCGGAGAAACCCAAAGACTCCAATTCTGGGACTTGCACATGAGCTACTGCTTGAGTCTGAACAACTTCATGTCAGCATACAACATTTTGCAACAGGAAAAGAAGGAAATATTAAGAACAAGCCCTTACCATATCGACTGGCATATTGTATGCGGGCTGCGTGGAGAGCTTCAAGCCTTTGGCTGAGGCCCAGGTTTTGTAGTGCTCCAAATACTCCAGATATCCCTGGCCAAGGGCTGACTTGTAGTCTTGCACGTAAGGCCCCCCATCAGTAGCGTACTCACCCAGGGTGTAGGTGACATTGTACGGCGGCAGGTACCCACCCCATGCGTTCGTGGCATGAAAGAGGATGGGGAGGTACTTGGTGATGCTGTAACGGTTCAAGGACTCAAAACGAGAGGCTAGTCCATCGGACCACGGCAAAGCGGCCTGCATCTCCATACTGTCTTCCCAGACTAGATACGAGTCAGCATTGGGCTTGAGGTCAACAAGGAATTACGAACCGTATTCGCCAGCCTCCTTGACGAGAGAAGCGACCGTATCATCTGATAGGATCTGTTGGTCCCAGAAGTCTGTCATTTTCTTGGCTCCATCAGAACTCCAGTGATCCACTATCCAAGAACCGTTACCCAGGGCCGTCGTGGCATTCGCGATGGAGACACAGCTTCTCTGGTTTGTGTAACGATCGTAGATACCGAAAACGATCCAGGTTCCATTCCCTTCCGGGGGGATCCACGAGAGCGTGCCCTGATTGGTGACGTTGGTCAGGTCAACCAACGTATCCTCCTCGAGAATAGACATGTAGAAGTATTCCGTCAAGTGGACTTCGGTAACGATCTTCCCGGCCACGACCGCCACAAGGTTGTTGGCGCCCCACGGCTCTGGTGTGTTCATGAAGCCGGTGAGCATGTTGTACTGTACGTCGGGCATTGGCACTGGCCCTGAGTAGAGCTTCCCCGACGGAACCGTAATATTTCCATACACGAGCTCCTTGGCGAGGCCCACGGTCTCGACCACAGAGGGAACACCGGCACCTTGGTTGGCACCAAGGGCTAGGTCGAGTTGCAGACCATGGGCTGCAGTTGCGTTCAAAGCCGCCGCCAGCACCCCTTTGAAAGCTTCTGTGCCGAATCCGTACATGGACCAATCAGTCAATGCCGGGCCCAGACCGTAGTTATAGAACGGGAGGAACTCTAGGCCTCCAGCTCCAACTTCAGCAAGATGGTTAACATCGTCAACGACAGACTGATGAGGAACTGAGGCATCTGGGAGCCTGAAAAAACTTAGAAGTGTTCCAGTGAAAGGAAGTGAGAGCGAAAAAGGTGCCTACCAATACCGAAACTTTGGGCGGTACTCTGTTGATGGGTCATCGAATCCGGAGAGCGAAGCCAAGGAAATTGACGCATGGCTGATACCGGTGATGAGCACCAACCAAAGCAAATAGTGCATGGTTAATGAATCACAAGACAAAAAGCAAATCTTGTTACAACACGTATGTCTTGAAATATCGAAAATAAGAATGGCCGATGGTGACTGCCAGGTAGAGCGATAAAACGACAACAGCAAGGCAAAAGTTTGAGATTGTCCGGCATCTATTGCCTTTTATGTCCTGTCAGACATACAGCCATGTTGACACGGGGAGAGAGCAGCGAACACATGACTGACGGGTGCATGTCTACATTTAACCCAGTCCTATGACTTATTGGGGATAGTCAAATCTGGGGTACTTCGGCAGATGCAGCTCGATTCAGCGTTGCGATTGAAATTTAGGTAATTCTGGGGTGAATGCATGTCAGTACTTGATGTCGTACTCGGGGCGAATACGGCGCGTGGATCAACAGCTAGAATGTCAAGGCATCGAGATGGAGTCGGGAGAAAGCATGGCGAGGACACCTCCAGAGGGCTGTGCCTTCGGTCCTTATCATGCTCATGGGGTGGAAGAAAGGACGATAGATCCTGACTTGCTGCTTCTGATTTGATACATAAGGTCCGTAGTCCAGTTGACATATGTTCGGCGGCGCTTCTGGTGGGGAACCCTGCAACTTCTCGTGAGTAATACGACGCCTGACGAGAGGATACGCGTATAAAATTTACAGATCCAAATGCACCGCATCGTGCACGAATAAACTCCGGGAGAAAATAGAGCGAGGGAAACATGCCCAGTGTGGCACCTGACGGAACCTGTCTGAGAACGCGTCAATTGAGTCCTCAGCAGCGTTTGCAGTGAAGATTCTCCCTCATACTGAGCGCATAGTTACACATACGAGAAAGCGCTAGTTTTCAGAGCTGGCTTCCGTGCGAAAAGAATAGACTAGCAAGATGTATAGCAGTGCATCCATCCGGACTGATGATGTGGGAATAGCTGGTGGCTATGGATAATGTTTTGTGAACTTCCCATTTGTTAGATGGTCTTAAATGTATATCCAAGGTTTCTCGGCAGTATGTAAATCGGGATGCAACTTCTTCAAGAGCCTCAAACCTACGTTGAATCACGGGGGAAAAATCTGCGCAGTCTGAAAGGTCACCGTAGGTGGTGGTCAGGTGCATGTAGCTGGATTATCAAAGCAAACCTCAGGCGACCAGCCGGGCATTAGCCCCGACAGCTTAAGAGTAAGTCCCGGAAGATTCAAAAAGAACGACTAGGTAAATCGGTGTGCATGCCTGAACAGGAATGTGGTTTAGGAAATTGCAAGTAGAAAAAGCAAATTCCTTTGTTTTGACCAAACATGCTGTCAGCAGGATCTCTAAACTAATGCCGCTTCCTCCACCAGAATCCCCTCAGTATGCATAGGATGGCGAATAAGGCTCAGGCAACCGGTGCTAGTGAGCTTGCCGAGGCGAAGATCGCCAGCTTGGCAGAGGGGATTGCATTTCTTGTGCAACGTCGGGAATACCCCTCGCGAAGGTCGGTTCATGCTCTGGGAGCGAATGGTTTTCATAAATAAGAGCAAGACTCTTGTAAACCTGTGATCGGTGTTTTAGAGCAGAGGATCGCAAACATCTATTGATCATGGTCATTGTACGGTCAACTTTGATTTGTTTGACCCTTGTAGGGGTTGTGGCTGCAGAGGGCCACTGCAAAGTGTACCCCGGCGATGATGCATGGCCCTCCGACGAAGCCTGGGCATCGCTCAATGCTCGAGTCGACAATCGTCTCCTCAAACCGCGACCGCAAGCCGCAGCATGCTATCCGGGGACTGAGTACGATGCAGCTGCATGTGCGACCATGTCAGCCAACTGGAACAATTCGTACACTCATCTCGACGACCCTATCGAGATGTTCTCGCCTGTGTACTCTGGCCTCACTTGTCTTCCTCCCAATGTTTACGACTCTGGAAACTGCTCAATGGGCGGATACCCGTGGTATGTTATCAATGCGACTTCGCCGAAGCACATACAGGAGGGAGTTAGGTTTGCAAAGGAAACTGGGATCCGGTTGGTGGTTAAAAACACGGGCCATGACTTTTCTGGCAAGTCTGGAGGCGGCGAATCCTTGAGCATCTGGACGCATTACTTGAAGGATGTCGAGTACATCCCAGAGGTAACAGATGAGATCGAGGGATATGCTGGGGCTGCATTCAAATGTGGTACTGGCGTACAGGCGTTTGAGATTTACGAAATAGCTCACAAGCACGGGAATGTCGTCGTTGGGGGAGAGGGCCAGGTATGTAATAAACATCTTCCTCTTCACTATCGCATTTCCAGTCAAGAAATCCAACTGACAACCTCTATTAGACTGTCGGAGTAATGGGAGGATACATACAAGGCGGAGGCCATTCTCCTCTGAGTTCTCTCTATGGCACAGGTGCAGACCAAGCTCTGGCATTTGAGGTTGTGACGGCAGACGGGAATCTCATAACAGCCGATCATACACAGAACTCTGATCTCTTCTGGGCTCTTCGAGGGGGCGGTGGCTCTACCTTTGGAGTCGCGACATCGGTAACTGTCAAAGCATTTCCGGATATGACCACCACAGCAGCGGCGTTCAAATTCTCCACGGCAGACGGCATTTCGAATCTTACGTTTTGGGCGGGCGTGCGGAGTTACTTTGACTACTTTATCGACAACGCAGATGCAGGAACATACTCCTATTTCCGAGTTCTGGCGAATAACCCGGGCCCTGGCCATTTTACGCTTCAAATGTCACCATTTCTCGCTCCCAATAAAACCCTAAAGGATGTGGAGTCTTTGCTGGGCCCATGGCTCACAGACCTTGCGGACATGGGAATTAAGTTGGCCCCAAATATTACTGAGTACGACTCGTTCTACCCATCGTGGAAGGACTTCTTCCCATTGGAGGGAGTGGCGAAGGTGAATATCCAAAGTGGCTCTCGCCTCTTCCCCCGAAAGAACTTCGAGTCTGAAGATCTGAAACAAGCCACCTTTGATGCTATCCGGAAGTCCGTTGAGACAAATCATGTTTTCATTGGCTTCAATATGAAGATGGTTAGCCCGGACGATCCTGATAACGCGGTAAATCCAGCTTGGCGCGATAACATTCTATTCGCAATACAGCTGGGATCGTGGTCTATCAACGCCACCGCAGATCAGATTCTCAAGATCAGAGAGGAATTTACTCATGGCCACATGCAGCGCTGGAGAGACGTCTCCCCAGGTGCTGGCTCTTACTTGGCGGAGTCAGATCGCATGGAGCCAAACTTTCAGCAATCTTTCTACGGAGACGAGAAATACACTCGCTTGCTTGAGCTGAAAAAGAAATGGGACCCTGAAGATGTGTTTTATGCTGCAACTGCAGTGGGCAGCGAATTTTGGACAATTGAGACTGCCGATGGATTGCCTCATGAGAATGGAAGACTGTGTCGTGTCGAGGAGTAGCCAGGCATGGATTTGAGGACGTGGCTTCCGGGTCAAACTCTCGCGGGCTAGGGGGCGTTAGTGGAACCCGGTGGATGTGGGTGTACCTACACGAATGTAAAGTTCAATTTTATAGACGAGGCACCGTGATGGCTGAACTGAACGGAGATGGCCAATATTCTTAAGGTTATTGATGGTGACTATTATAAGAACCTATGTCGACTCGCCGCACCCAACGCTCGAGCTTTGCTACCTGCGTCCTAAGGGGCTTGCCTTTTTCAACTGTCGTTCACCACCCAAGACGCGTGGGAAGCAAACTGCCAATTCTGGTCTTTCAGTTGAATCTATGCACTAACACAGACGTTCGAGTCGAACAAGAACCAACTGACGACATGGAGTCCATCGTCGAGAATGTGACTTCGACAGCCCTTAAACATACCGGCGGCATGGAGACCATCGTCAAGAATGTGACTTCGATCGCCAAGAATATCACTTCGAAAGCCTCCAACTACACCCACGATGAAGTGCAACGGATGTTAACGGAACAATATGCCGCAAATATGTCACAAAGGTCATACAGGCTGCCTACCGCGACAAATCACACAGGCTGGCAAGCTTGGGTTTGGCCAGCATTAGTCTATCTCGTTGGTTTGACGTGCGGTGTCGTAGCCGTCAATTGCAAGGAGAAGTACCGCTTACCCTCTGTGCTCGCCTTCTGCGCCACCGGCATCGAGATTTTGCGATATGTCAGCGGAATCAACATGAACTATGCCTTGAAGGACACTTTACTCAAGGGCATCATCATCCAATGCATGGGCGCGGTAGTCATGGTTCTTCGCGAAGGATTCGTTCTCACCGAGGAGCAGAAGAGACTCCCATGGCCTCAGCGTGCCCGCGCCACTTACAAGATTGCATGGAACGGACGTTTTATCAATACCGCTCGGCAAGCCCCTGTATACCATCTCATAAAAGACCAAGACAAGGAAAGACAGGTCCCATCGGCTGTAATTGAGAAGAGAAAGGAACTGGCCGCAAGAAAAGCCCAGAAGGCCACCACCGAGAACGACAGAAAAGACAACGAGGTTGCCCCAGTCACCGATACGGCGAACAAGCAAGTCGCCGTAGAGATTTGGAAGAGATTCAGCACTCACGCCTTGAAGATATGGAGAAATTATCGTCTTCGGTGGATGTTGGAAATGGTATGTCGAATACTCCTCATCATCATCGTAGACAACGCCAAGGACATCGTCATCGACAGATACCTCGGCTTCGTCTGGACGGACATAGAGGACCACAAGTCGGCAATAATCCGTCGCTTCCTTAGGGGGGACCATATCGAGCCTCGCGAGTTTTGGGTTCGTGTCTACTTCGCCTTCGAATCTATGTGGGCAGCATACAACTGGTACAACCGAGCTCACTTGTTGTGCGCTTTATTCTTTGTCGGCCTTGGAATCGACGAACCCGAGGAATGGCCCCCTATGTTCGGAGACATCCGCCAAGCATGGAACATCCGCCGGTTTTGGAGCAAGTACTTTGACCGCCTCATTTACCGCACTGTCTGCGGCACTGGAGAGATTATGATGCAGGCCGTCGGGCTCGGCAGGGGTCCCTTCATGGGCAAGAAGCGCTGGCTGCTGAACTGCCTTGTTTTTACCATCAGCGGTTTCTTCCACGCTTACACGGATTACCTGGCCGGTATTACGTGCGGCTTTTGGTGGGAGGTCTTCTCGTGGGTGGCAAACTTCGTTATCATTGCCTTCGAGACGTTGTTCCTGCACTATCTCAAAACGTATTGCCCAAGGGTATACCACGCGCTGAGCGGGAAAATTGGAAAGACCATAGGATTCATCTGGGGCTTCTCTTGGGTGTGGTGGGTCACCCCAAAGAGTCAATTTGTGACGCTCCGGTGCATTCCCTAGGTTTGATTAAGGGCAAATAACAAAACGGCGGATGTCAGTCATCTTGTTGAGGAGGCTGCGTTCAATGCGGGACATTGAGTCATTGATATTTCATGTTGTGTAAAAGACCAGAGATTACCGAATGAATGATTTACGAGCGGCTCATTCCTGCTTTCATGAGTGATCTTGGCCAAACTTGTAATTGTCATGGAAACCGCCGCGGAGAAATTGTGGAGGCTTCGGCTGACGCATACCACAATTTCTCCACGGGGAAACTTCGATGACAGAATCTGAGAAGACTACAAGTATATAGTCTGAACACATTACTAGAGCCTTTTGGAAATGACCAACCCCTTGCTGCAAGAGCTGCTTCATCGGTCTTAACCGAACTCACCGCTCGACCGTCAGTATGTCGAAAGCTCTGATCAACGTGCCACGTACCATTATGGATCTTACTCTCGAGGAGAAGATTAAACTTCTCGCGGGCAAAGACACCTGGACGACACATGCGATTGACCGCCTCAAAATTCCAAGTATCACAGTATGGCGCCACCAGTAATATGTGGGCATTGCTGACCTTTTCAGACCTCCGACGGGCCACATGGCGTTCGAGGAACGGCTTTCTTCAATGGAGTACGTGGGATTCTGCCTGAAGCTTTCACCGTCTCTGACCATTCAAGCCTCCGGGGTGTCTGCTGCCTTCAGCCACGGCTATGGGCGCTACCTTCGACACCGAACTGATGCATTCTGTAGGCGAGATACTCGCAGCCGAAGCCAAAGAGAAGGCCTGTCATGTTATCCTAGCCCCTACTGTCTGTCTACAAAGGTCTCCGCTCATCGGTCGTGGCTTTGAAGCTTTCGCTGAGGACCCATTCCTGAGCGGCACCTTGGCGTCTGCATACATCAGCGGCGTGCAGACAAACGGTGTGGGGGTTAGCATCAAGCACTATGCCGCCCATGACCAGTCTACTATGTCTATTGAAGACTCAATCAGAGTTTCGGAGCGAACGCTGCGTGAGATGCATCTCCTACCCTTCCAGATTACCGTCAAAAACGCGAACCCGTGGTGCTTCATGACGGCGTACCATAGGATTAACGGTACTCATGCGAGCGAGGATCCATGGCTCTTGGGGGACATCCTTCGCAAGGAGTGGGGATGGGATGGACTTATCATGAGTGACTGGTTCGGGACGTACAGCACCTCTGAGGCTGTGAATGCCGGGCTTGATCTTGAGATGCCCGGGCCAGCAAGGTGGAGGGGCGAATTGCTCACGTGGGCCGTTTTGTGCCGCAAGGTCAAGGAGGCAACCATTGATGAGCGGGTCCGAAGTCTGTTGAATCTGATCAACAAGGTTCAGCCAGCACTGAAGCATCGGCGCGACGAGCGTATACAAGGTGATACTGAAGAGAAACGGCGGGTGTGCAGGAAGGTGGCAAACGACTCAATAGTTCTGTTGAAGAACGAACGGTCTGTGCTGCCCCTCAATCCGTCTTCCGAGCAGATCTTTGGTCTAATTGGACCTGCTGTTCGGTTGCCTGCCGTAAGTGGTGGTGGATCAGCGGACTTAGTACCGTACTATGTCAGTACACCGTTGGATGCTATTGTTGACATCGTAGGGGAGGGAAGAGTGAAGACAGCTATAGGATGCCATGGTAAGTGATGCTAGCTTGAGCTATCATGCTTATGCTAATCGATCGCAGGCCATCTCTTCACACCTCTTCTATCGTCCAAAGTGACTGTTCCTGGTACAAATCAGCCTGGTTACATCCTTGATTGGTTTGAAGAGAACTTTGAAGAGAACCCAGATGCAACGCCTGTGTACACTACAACGACGACACAGGCGCAGATGTACTTCGCCGATAGTCTTCCAAAGGACGTCCCCAGCGCGTACTGGTTGCGTGTGAAGACGTGCTTGACTGCCACAAAGACGGCAAAAGTCCAACTCGGACTTTGCGTTATAGGAAAGGGAAGACTGTATGTCGACGGAAAGCAAGTCATCGATCTTTTCACCAGCCAACCCAAGAAGATGATGCATACACCTATGTTCAACCAAGCAAGCATGGAACTGACTGCAGACGTTGAAGTTGAGGCCGGAAAAGCTTATGAAGTCTGCGTAGTGCTTCGAAACGAAGCCGCAATTCCCGGGGTTGGTGCTCTCAGTGCAGGTGGATTGAGGATCGGCTGCTGTGAGAAGATTGACAAGGAGCAGGCTTTGGATGAAGCTGTGAGACTGGCAAAGTCCGTCGACATACCCATCGTGATAGCTGGACTAAATGCAGACTATGAGAGTGAGGCCGTTGATCGGAAGTCTCTTGACTTGCCGCCGGGGATCGATGAGTTGATTGAGCGGGTTGTTGCGGCAAACCCCAACACTGTAAGTGTGTTAATCTCCGCGACTGTGGACTCGATCCCTAACGTGCTAGTCTCAGATTATTGTAACTCAGTCCGAATGTCCCATAGCTATGCCCTGGATCGAGAAAGGTGCAACTCTTGTACACGCCTGGTTTGGCGGCCAGGAGACAGGAAATGCCATGGCCGACATTCTGTTTGGTAAGGTCAACCCCAGCGGCCGTCTATCAGTGACCTTTCCAAAGCGTATTGAGGATACACCGGCTTTCTTGACCTTTGGAAAAGGCCAGAGGGAGATCATGTATGGCGAGGGCGTGTTCATCGGTTACCGATACTATGAGAAGGTCAAGACGCACCCGCTGTTTTACTTCGGTTATGGCCTGTCGTACACAACTTTCGAATATTCCAACCTGCAGGTGCCGAAGAAGGTTCGCTTCGATAACTGTAGTGCGATGTCATTTGAGGTTATCGTCGACGTGCGCAATACTGGACTTCGAGATGGTTCAGAGACTGTTCAGATATACGTTCAAGATATCGAGACAGTGTTTGACCGTCCTCGGAAAGAGTTGAAGGGATTTACTAAAGTCTGGGTTGCGAATGGAGACACAGTCACTGCCAAGGTCACTCTTGACAAGTATGCGTTGTCATATTGGAACGAAGAGTTGGAGCAGTGGCTGGCTGGGAGAGGAACATTTCGCATCATCGTTTCCAAGAGTGCCGACCCAGAAGACGAAGTGCTGAGCGCTGAAATTGAACTTGAGGAAGACTTTAGGTGGCAAGGTCTTTGATAGAGGAATTCCAAGCATTTAATTACTTTCACGATGAACCCCTTAAAAGTGACGGGGACTCTGAGTGTATCTAAGTCTTATTTTCGTAACAGTCGACATCCCGCGATGGTGGTGTTAGTTGCATAAAGTTCGTAAATGCACTTAGACCGTAGCTGGCATGAACAAATCCCGCCCGTTGTGGTGACATATTCTCCGACCTTCAACTCCGAATACCCCCGCTTTGAATTCCTCCGCGGCGAAATTGCTGCACCTACTCGCATCCATCACCAGCGTCGCGATGCCCATACCGAGTTCTGCACTGTCCAAAAGAGCGTGTGATGCATGTCGGCAACGAAAGGTGAAAGTAAGTTTGTTTCACTCGCCCGCTTCATAGACTTGAGCACGCCTCAGTTGAGACCCGATCGTTGCTTATTTCTGACAAGCGATAGTGCGATGCAACTCAGCCATGCGCAAACTGCAGCATATCAAATTTAGACTGCACCTTCAAGGTGATCCCTCGAATGAGAGGCCCGAAGACGCCTCGTGCAAAGGCCCAAGAACCGCCGCCTGCCAGGCAGAGGACCTCTCGTTCACCGCATACAAGAAGTGGTGACAATGGCAGACCTCACGTTACCTATACATCAACAACTCACTGTGAGCCAGCCGTTACACCTACTCCAGTTTACCTCATGATAGACTCAGCAACTACGCCTTCAAGAATACGAGGCGATCTCTTCTCGGCAATATTTGCAATACTGCCGTTACCAACAATCAGACAAGTCGTCGACGAGTGCATTTCTCTCTATGTATTGCACATGTTCCCAGTGTGCCCAATTTGCCATGTTCCGACTCTTCGAGCCATGGCTGCTGCTTACTTTCCAGTTCCTGGATCCGCGTCATATGTTGATGACATTGTATTCGATGAGGGTGCCGACAAAGAAAGGGTTGCTGCCATGAGACCATTCACTCTACTCACTGCATTGTGCGCCGCCGTTGCTTCTATCTACCCAGACTCAATCTTGGCATACCGCGATCTGGTTGCGACACCTTTTCTGCAGGCATCAAGAATGATGATTAAGGTGTATGAAGATTACGACACACAGTATCCCGATTCAAGCTCTTTGGCTATTCGCCTTTTCCAGTCGGCAGCACTCCAACATTCAGCTGGCAAGACGCCCTTGGCATGGCATGTTCTAAGCCAAGGCGGTCTGCTGGCTCAACACCTTCGACTTCATGACGAGCATGTTCTGTCGAATTCCGACCCGTTGGAATCCACCCTTCTCCGAAACAGTTTCTGGATGCTCTATGTGTGCGACAAAGCTGCAATTTCTCTGGCGAATCGGCACGTCACCTTGCATGAGCCCTTGTTCGACTCAACCATGACCATCCAGGAAAGCGACCCGGCGAGAGTTCCTCTGCTCGATCCGAGCATGAGGAATGTGCCGGATTCGTTTGAGGACACCCTTATGGTGGGATTCCACTTGATCCAACGCTGCTGGGCATCAGCCGGTCGTCTACTTCTGGCAATCAGATCGAAGAGACAAAACACCACTCTCAACAGCTCGACAGCAGAAACGACGTCAGACACTGAGGAAGCAATGACCAACATGTACATCGAAGTCATGAGTCTTTTAGACCACTTGCCTCCTTGGCTTAACTCGCCTGACACGGTCGATCTGGACGCTCAGTATGATGTTGCTTTCCAACGATCTTGTTTCTGGACGCAGAAATCTCGGCTTGTTGCCATGTTTCATGGCGTTAGGATCATGGTACTTCGGCAATGCATCGAGCATGGCCTGATGAGTCTTATTGGACTCAATGATGATCCATTGACACTGGCTATGGAGCAGATCAATATTGCCAGGGACGTCGTGCATAGTCTGACGAGTGTCCCTTTTCAGTACATTCAAACCAATGGAGAGCCTGGTGTGAGTGTCCTTGTAGTATCAACCTCAGCCATATGACAAGCTAACATGATCCTTGAAGATTGAACTGATGCGCGTCGTTGGAAGCATTCTGCTGGAGCTTTCGCAAAACGTCGAAAATGATGTTGTTCGAGGCCGAGCGAGCTCTTTGCTTTCCTCGCTCCTGGACATTCTCGCAAGGCTTGATTCAAAAGCATCGGAAGAATTGCTCAGCCAGCAAACATGAGCCCAGATCGTATCAATCACCGCATAAAGATCTGTGGTGTCGAGCGACTTTCTCCGTCCTCCCCCGCATTTCTACTTGAGCGCTTGCAAACCTCGCCTGACGCCGTCTGCATTCTGCATTCTGCCGAATGCTATCGCGTGCATTAAGCATGGCGCTAATGGGAAACGGCTCGTCTGTCGCCACCAACGGCATCCATCGCGGGCTCCTCCGATTCCAGCAACAGACCACGCGGACTTGACTCTGGGCTTCTTTTTGTCATAATTCATCATTGATATCATGATCAAGTATACGATCTGCAAAACTACCCGCAGGAGTATCTAGACCATGGGTAGCATTTGCTGCCAGGGCGTTGAAGCCAAGTTCGTTTCTGCCGACCCCCTCATTTTGGGCTAGCTGTAAGCCATGCATGCCCACCCCCTCTACCCCAACTTTTGATGAAATTCAGTCGCCTAATGCGACATTCGCGATATATCGACTGGTCCAACGCCACGTGAAGCTTGGCTGAAAAGTCCAGGTTCTGTGATAAGGCCGCCCTAGTAGGCCGTTAGGTTCACACGCCGCCGGTAGCTGCATGCGACATCGCCCGGCTCGAACCGCCATTTCCCGATGGCTTTCCTGCCGGCAACGGCTGTTGCGATCACTCTTTAACGCTTCGCCATTTGAACCCCTCTTCGCTCGAACATCCACCTCAAAATCGTCCTGCACCATTTTGTCCGACAGATTTGGAAGAAGGCGTCAAAACTTCGACTGAAAATGGCCAAGAACTTACAGAAATTGCCCGCATATCTTACTCGCCTATTCAGTCTCGCCGGCAGGACCGCAGTTGTAACAGGCGGCAGCTCAGGTATCGGCAAAGAAATCGCCCTCGCCCTGGGCCAGTCAGGCGCAAAGATCATACTCGTAGCCCGCCGAGAACCCCCTCTCGCGGCGACCGTCGAACAACTCAAGCAACTCGGTGTTCCCACCACATCAATATCAGCTGATCTGGCTCATCTTGCGGATCTGAACCATGCCATCTCACGGATCAAGTCGGCGCATGGCGTGCCAGACATACTGGTGAATGCGGCAGGCGTCTCTCACCGACCTCCGCTGTCGCACATCACCCAGGGACAATGGGACTTCACTATTGCAGCAAACCTGACGGCGCCTTTTGCGCTGGGACAGGCATTCGGGCCCGGTATGGCGGAACGGGGGAGGGGGCGCATCATCAACGTCGTGAGCCAGCAGGCGTTTCGTGCTTTTGGGAACAGCGGGGCATACGGCGCCGCGAAGGGCGGACTGGCTGCCCTCACAAGGTCCCAAGCGGAGGCCTGGTCTCGGAAAGGCGTTCTCTGTAATGCTATCGCCCCGGGGATCGTTGAGACGCCGATGACGGCGGGGGTCCTCGCTGATGCAGAGAAGGCGGAGAAACATGCATCGAGGACGATGATTGGGCGGAATGGGATCGTGGAGGACTTCGCAGGAGTCGCGGTTTGGTTGGCGAGCGACGCCAGTGCTGCGGTCACGGGGCAGACTATGTTTGTTGATGGCGGGTATTCAGCGACGTAACGGGGCGGTTTCATACATGCGAAGGCATATTCTGGTGTTGTTCGGGGCTGCATGAAATTGAATAAGTAGAGAATGATGGGACGACACGAGGCGGTTATCAGTATGTTGAACAAAGCATACAAGCTCAGTCCAGTCTCTCCAATAAGACTTCAGGTTAAATGTTTCTGTAGTATCTCAAGAAACACTGCATGTGGTGTGAGATTGAGGATCGACAATGAAGATCGTAGAACCTGGGATCCGATTCCTTTAGGGATCCGATTCCTTTGAATGGATCTTGAATAGTAATGGAATTCAGCAAAACGAAATATACTTCGTATTAATCAGTGCAGTACTGGTATGATGCAAGTTCACAACTAACTGTGATACGATGAGTCGATCTGCCATCGCCTCCTGGGTAGTTCCTGGACTAGTAATAGATAGTACATCGTGTCCAGCATCTCAAACAGCGTCCCGCTTGCTTGTAACAGCTTGACCACCCAAAATCTCTCTCATGACCTCCTGTTCCTCATGGCCACTTAAGTCACCAAACGCTTCGTCCATCTGCTCAAGGGTCTTGCCCATAGTCTACAACATCCTGTTAGCGGGACCTGTCTCATTGTTGCGTTGCGAGAATAGAAACTCACCTCAGGAACAAGGAAGAAAGCCCAAACTGCAGCCGAGCCACAGAAACAGGCGAAGAAAACGTAGGTACCGAACCCAATGCTCTCAATCATCGGCGGAGTAACGACGCCCCTGTGACCGATGTCAGTTCAATCAAGCCAGATTCTCGCGAGGATGTAGCTTATACGTACACTGTGAAGTTGGAAAGCCAGTTGACAGCCACCGAGAACGCAACGCCCTTGGAGCGCATACCATTGGGAAACACCTCGGGAGGAAGAGCCCATCCGAGGGACGAGTACGAGGCGCCAAAGATGATAATGAAGAGGAAGGCCATGGCGACGCACGCCCAGCCTGCGGAGGTATTCTCGCCCCACCTGCTGTCGAAAGTGCCGACGAGGGCTGCGATGACCACGAAACAAATCATGTTGCCGATACCGCCGTAGATGGCGAGCGGTCTGCGGCCAACCCTGTCGATGAGGATGAATGCGATGAAGACACCGACGATCTGTAGCGCGTTGAAGATGCCGGAGAGAATGAGCGACATATCGTCGGATTGGCCAATGTTTCTGAAGAGGGTTGGTGCGTAGTAGATGAAGCCGTTCACACCTTGGAACTGCTGGAAGAAGGACACACCGGCGCCAACTATTGTCCGCCTCCAGCTCTTGATGGTGAATAGATCGAGCCACTGCACCACTTCCAACTTGAATCCACGGACTCCGGGATGGCGGCGCTCCAGCATGACGGCCTGAAATTTGGCTTCGGCGAGAATGCCCTGATATTCGGCCTGCACGCGCTCGTCTGACGCCGGGAGCTTCCGGAGCTTGCACAAGCTGCTCAAGCAGTCCTCATGCCTGTCCTGCATCGCAAGCCAGCGGGGCGAGTAGGGGAAGAGCTGGATCATAGCACCGAGGATCATGGCCGAGGGCAGCTGAAGAGCAAACGGCACGCGCCACGAGGCCTCGCCGGCGATATCCTTGCAAGCATACGTGATCCAGTACGCGATGGTGACGCCTGCGACGATGGCGACGGATTCGAGAACGAGCAGCGTTCCGCGGAGATGAGGCGGGGAGACTTCGGAGATGTACTGTGTCGCAGTGACTACATTAGTCTCACACAACTAAACGCGCCGGGGCATAACTCACCATTGGGGCGCCGAGAGCAAGTGTTCCGGTCCCGATACCTCCAATTGTTCGCCCAACAACAACGGTCGCGTAGTTATATGCTGCGGTCTGGATGACACCACCGATGCAGAAGATGATGGAACTCAGAAGGAGCGCCTTCTTCCTAGACCAGCGGTCGGAGATGTACGGGTAGAACCAGCAGCCGATGAAAGCGCCGAGCAGGAGCATACCCGTCATGAATCCCTTGTTGAACTCGTTCTCTGCTTCCGGGATGACGGCGTGGAATTGCGGGAGAACGTTGATGATGCCCATGACGCCCTGATCGTAGCCGAACGAGAACCCTCCGAGCGAGGCCAAGAATGCCGCAGACAACATGTAAGGCCCCGAAGAGAAGATGCCTCTCACACCACTGGGTCCATATGGGATGCTCTCCGCAAGGACGTCGATATCGATGGTTGCCTTTGCCTTGGTTGGGTTATCATCGTGTTCAGCGTACCCGTTGCCTGAGGGACCCTCGGCCGCGGACTTGTCACTGGCGTCCGCCATGTCGACTGGCTTAAAGGAGAGGAGGTGATATTGAGAAGGAGAGGAAGTGGTTAGAAAACCCAGGAAGGAGTTCGTATGACTCTGCAGTGAACGGGGAAGAGCCTTTGACGGGACGTGCGTGGACACGGAGCTTTATATGTAATTACGGAGCTATCCTATCTCGACTTGATGATAACATTAACATGGGAATGGGCAGGGGCCGGGCTCTGCACTGTGTGCCGGTGCCGTGGTGTAGCGGGGACCCCGCAAATCCAGACGAAGGTTGGGGAAATCTGGGGTTTTGGCATCTTGGAGACTTGGTGTTCATAAACGGGGTGAATTCCCACGTTCGGTCGATGGATGCCGCGCTAGCCCAGTTCCCAGGCGCCTGGACCCCGGTTCCTGGCAGCTTTCCTGCGGAGGCAAATACCCCGTACATAGTCAAAACTGTCTGGTTTCAAGGCAGAGAAGATTGTCTTCCCCATCATGACCCTAGTTTCCCCATGGGGTGGGTGCATGGCAATATCATCCAGTAATGATGTAGGTTCGGCGGCTGATTAGGCAGGGGAGACCACTTTGGGATGACAGTTCCTGCAGGAGATTAGAATCATGTGGTCGAATACTAATCGAAAAAAGAGCGTGCCGCGTAATATCACGATGTGGAAACAAGTCCCTCACCCGAAACCGGCGGTCAATACGCCCCTGAGGTCCCATATGGGCCAATAAGCAACATGCGGGGCGAAAGTGCGCTCTTTGAGCCGCAGCTCGGATATGCGGCGGCCCCTACGACGGAGAAGATATTACCCAGAACCTCGGCAAAAGACATACGTCAATTCATCTAATACAGAGCCATTGCAGAAGCTTGACAAGATACAACCACTTTCATTGGTAGAATTTTAGGACAAAAGGATGTACCTTGGATGATGAGAACCCCACATAATCCAACAGCTGCCGCGAACTCGCCAACAGCTAAGGTCATGAGTGGCATGTCCAAATATGTGACTGGAAACACCATGTGCAACCAAGCATTGATTCTGGTAAAATATGGGCTAGGGAAGAAGGCCAGAAAGAGATCAGAGGTTTTCGTTACGTTCTAGTATGCCTCTTGTTGCCTTTAGGGGTATTTGCCAGTCAGCAAGCTTGTCACAACTTTCACCGTGTTAGATGCGCTGCATAAAGACGTCAAGTCATCACTTTACCTTTCAAAGGTTGAAACAATTTAGTAAGAGTATCAAACGAAGCCCTCGGCTTTGGCGGCAGGAATTAAATCTTTACTCATGACAAATACCAGTAGAGCAAGATATACGACGACAATGGGGACAAGGATACCTTTGGAAAGAGGATAGAGTTAGAAACATCCGATCAAATCATCAATCATGGTACCAATTTTAGAACAAATATCTCTATTGTAACTTTCTATTCATATCATCTATTTCGTCGGAAGAGGCTTCAAAATCGGCTCCCCCGCCTCATCAAAGTACACCGGCTCGCCAAGACGGAACGAGTGCTGCAGCGCGCACGCAATCTTGCCTGCCTCAAGCGCATCGTCCGGCGAGCACGATAGCGGGCGGTCATCCAGCACCGCAGTAGCGAACTCGGCAATGTCGTTGATGAAGGTCTTGTCATACAACGCGAAGGCGTCGGGGGTCGAGGCGGTACGCACGCCGTGCTCGTCGCGGATCTCGACGCGGTTGAGGGTCGAGTTGCCGTTGATGACGGAGTGGCCCTTGGTCCCGCAGACGCGTGTGGCGGCCTCGAAGCCGTTGGTGATGGTGCGGCTGAGGCGCGTGTGCAGGATCTTGCCGTTGGCGAACTCGACGAGGCCCCAGGCGTTGTCGGCGTCGCCGAAGCGCGCGAGCTCGCCGTAGACGGACTGCTGGCCGAAGGCGACCACGCGGTTGACTTGCTTGGCGGGGTTGGGGATGTTCTTTTCGACGTCGAGGAAGTAACGGCCGGCATCGATCTGAGACAGGTTAGTCTAGGTTTGCGTTGAGGTTTGCGAAGGGGGATTCTCACTAGGTGAATGCCTGCGTCGACGAAGATACCACCCGACTGCTCGGAAAAGGTGACGTAGAAGGCTATGAAGAGGTCAGTCTGATGTTTCTGGAGTCATAGGATGGAGTCGTACCGTTCTTATCCTGAGGGTCGAGGCAAGAAGCTTCTACGGCGTGGATCTCCCCCAATTGGCCGTTCTCCGCCATCTTTTTCGTGACGCGATAAGATTCGTCATCTGTCGAATGTGTGAGCCGAGTTACATTACTAGACCTGCCGAGGGAAACTTACATCTCCGTGAGAAGGGGAGCAGGAACTTAAGGTGGGGGTTTGCCGCAGACTTGGCTACAACGTCCTTCGTGGTGATGATGTCCACAGAGATGGGCTTCTCGCACATTACATGCTACATGGTCATCGTCAGCAATCTCTCCAATACCATTGCAGGCGTATCGACGGGACATACCAGGCCCATGTCGAACGCAAGGCAAATCAAAGGCGCGTGGGTGGCCGTCGCCGTCGAGATCAAGACGGCCTGCGCGCCGCTGTTCTTCATGCACTCTTCCGGCGTCGCGAAGAACTTGACCGACGGCGGGAGGTTGGCGGCGGCCCATTTGTCGGCGCCGGGCTTGGTGTCGCACACGGCCACGAGCTCGATGCGCGGCTGCTCGAAGGCGAGAATCTTGGCGCGCAGAGCACCGAGACGGCCGAGGCCGATGAGGCAGAGCTTGAGGCGGTTTTGGACGGCCATGATGGTGATGATTCGAGAGCACAGCGGGAGGTGGTCGTCAGGGAAAAGAACGAGTATTGGTCACGATGTAGCTCGAGAATGGCTCTGTGACGTTTTCGCTGCTGGGGGACATTTTGAGCTGGCCGATCCGAGATATGTATTAGTTCCAAGGGTCTGAGATCGTCGTCGGTGTTAAGTCTGACTCCTGTCTAAGTGCGGGCGGAATTCCTCCTTGCGGAGCGAATTCCCTTTTGCGTTGTGTTGACCCACCGCTGGGAGATCGGCAATTTTGCCCGCTCTGACTTCCTGCGTCAGACCAGCCGCAAATTTGGTCACGACCTGTCGCTATTCGGCATCTCCAGTTGATTATGACTCCGCAAAGAAATCTTTGCGTAAAGAGGGGAAAGTGAGGGGAGAACGAGGGGAGGAAACCGACAATGCCCCGCGGTCGGCGTATGACGACAGCGGGTTCTCCGTCGCGGCGTTATAGTCCAGGAGTATCCCCCTGGCCCATCCCTTCACGACCCGACGCGTTCTCTCTGGTCGAAACCATACACTCTTCACTCAATCTCTTCTCTTTACATAGAACAGGCAAAGGCCGCCATGTCGTCAACTTCGTTCAAGCTCAACACCGGCGCCACCATCCCTGCCGTCGGCCTCGGTACGTCGCTCCTCTAGAAGCCCTTCCAGCAAGAAGGCACCAAGTGCTGATCTTCCAAACAACAGGAACTTGGAAGTCTGAGCCCGGTGAGGTGCGCAAGGCCGTCGCCTACGCCCTCAAGGACGGCTACCGCCACATCGACGCCGCTCTGTAAGATCCGAGAACTCCAGCTCCAAGCTTCATCCACCCGCTAACGATCTCCCCTCCGCAGCATCTACGGCAATGAGAACGAAGTCGGCCAGGGCATCAAGGACAGCGGTATATCGCGCGAGGACATCTTCATCACCAGCAAGCTGTGGAACACCCACCAGACGAACGCGAAGGAGGGCCTGCAGAAGACGCTTGATGCCCTTGGCACCGATTACCTCGATCTCTACGTGGGTTCCATCACACTCCAAAATCACAATCGGCTTTGCTAACAGAACGTCAAACAGTTGATTCACTGGCCCGTCCGTCTGGTCGCCGTACGTAGCCCTCCCACCCCAACACACCTCACGATGCCCATCCTCTAACCGATCCCAGAACGAAACAAGCGACCTCCTCCCCGTCAACCCCGACGGCACTCGCTCGGTGGACCGCTCCTGGGATCAGAGCGAGACCTGGCGCCAGATGGAGGAGCTCTACGCCTCCGGCAAGGTCAAGGCCATCGGCGTCGCTAACTGGTCCATCCCCTACCTCGAAGACCTGCGCAAGACGTGGAAGATTGTGCCAGCCGTCAACCAGGTCGAGCTGCACCCGTACCTCCCGCAGCACGAGCTCAGGGCGTACTGCGAGAAACTCGGCATCCTGCTGGAGGCGTACTCGCCTCTCGGATCAACCGGTGCGTTGCGATATCTTTCCCAGGTCTGAAGCTATAATGCTAACGGTTGTTGTAATACAGGCGCCCCCATCATGTCCGACTCCGAGATCCAGCAGATCGCCGCCAAGCATAACACCTCGGCGGCCACCGTGCTGATTAGCTATCACGTGAATCAGGGCGTCGTCGCGCTGCCCAAGTCTGTAAGCGAGGCGCGCATCACGAGCAACAGGCAGGTTGTGGAGCTGTCCAAGGAGGAGCTGGAGCTGCTCAATGGGCTGGCGGCGAAGGGCAAGGCGAAGCGCATCAACACGCCTTTGTGGGGCTTCGATCTTGGGTTTGCTGATTGGTATGGTCCCGTAGAGTCTAAGTAGAGATAGAGAAAATAGATGATTGCTAGAAGGCTTTAATTGGGAGTTCTTGTGCTTGTTGTGTTCGAGGCGTGACCTGTGATCACAAGGTGAGTGTCTGTGAAACAGTCGGAAAGGAGTAGTGCGCGTCTCTGTCGAGTTTCAGAGCGTGAACCACCGAGTACGCCAAAGCTGTCTTGGTATCATGGATGGTTGTCTTCAACGTGAACCGATTTGTAGTGAACTCGGTGAGGCGCCGCTTCTGTAGCTTCGGCAGAAGAGGAATACACTGAGTGGACATGATCAGGACAACATTTTGCAACACAAATTAACGTGGTTCATCAGTCAGCCGGCCGGACCAGTCAGCCGGACGTTTTTTCCCACGTACACAACAACATCTAGTATTTCTCAACCACAACGCATTAAATCAACTATTAGTTGTCGCTATCAGAATCTCCTGAGGGTTCGAC